AAGGAACAGGGGAGGGGAGAGGGAGGAAGATGGAGAAAAGAAGAGGAAAAAGAAAAAGGAGAGAGAGGAGAGAGGGAGAGATAGGAGGGAGGGAGGGAGGGAGGGAGGGAGGGAGGGAGGGGGAGGGGGGAGAGAAAGAGAGAGAGAGAGAGGAGTAAGGTAGGGAGAGGAGCTGATATTCTTCCCTGATTACTTTTTCCATTTCCTAGTTCTAATTTTACTAGAGGCCTAGACATATTCTTGTAATTAGATGTCCTAAGGAATGCCCATATCCTTATAATAAATGGCTTGATATTGTTGTATTTCATTTGTGAGTTTCCTAATACTATTAAAACTAAATAATTAAAATCAAGGATTTGACAATAATTTCAATGTAAACGTATTCTGTTCTGCTTTTATAAATAAACTGTTGGCCACCAATTGGCTATCATTTCAAAGCAGTAACAACTCAATATCCATTCAAAGTAACATTAGTAATATAAGACGGCATGGACTCTGGAAGCCTTGGAAAAAAAATATTAAGGGTGAAATGTAGGAGAAAACAATTGTCAGAGGGCCAAAAATTCACCTCTTTGTTAAATACCTACGTGACTCTAAAACTAAAAAATCAAATTTCAAACATATTAAAAAATGCAAGCAAAATATTTATATCATAATAGGTATCAGTAGGCGAAAAATGGGCATCTGAACTCCTAAAATTTTTGCTATTAAGATATATACAACACACAGATATATTTACCTATTTATATAACGGGATGCATAAAAAATAAAAAGAAACATATATACTGGGTATACACATTTCCTGAAACTCAGATATTTATCACGTCAAACGTAAAGATTATTATTCAGATACTATCAACATTTGCATTACAATTCTAAATGTAGGTTTAACAAATTCCTATACAGTGGGTAGGAAAATCACGTTAGAATTCTTAACATAATAAGCCCTACTCCTAATTCCTGTTATAGCTATCATTGCTGTCGTATCTACTGTAAACCATAAAATGCTAACTAATGAATACAGATAACTGAATTAATGATGATACATAGTAGCCCTCAAGATTCAGTATAAGTATACACTGAATGCAACCCATTATTCTGTAAGGTTTTCCATACCCAATACAATTTTCTTTATCAGAATCTACAGTGTAAGGACTATAGTTAATACAATGTCAATACTAGAAAATTGCTAGGAGAATAGGTTTTAGGTGTTCTTACTTTGAAGAAAAACCAGGTAACTGTGAGATGACAAATGTGTTAATTTGCTTGAGTATAGTAATCATTTTATTACGTATATCAAAACATCATGTTATACACCTTGATGTACATAATAAAAAAAGAAATTGTTTCTAGAAGTTAACAGAAAACAAAACCAGAAATCAGTAATGTATTTTATAATTACATTATCATCAAAGTGCTATGCCTTGTTAAAGGAAGGCATAAAATTATTTTTTTAGTTCTACTGCACACCATGATGAATATAATTAATAATAAAGTATTGTACATTTCAAAATTGCTATGAGAGCAAATTTCAGGTACACTGATAAAGCACAGACTAGGTCTTTTCACATAATCCCTTTCTTGGAGGCTTTATTTCTTTTCACTCTTTTTTCTCTAATATTGCCTTCTCATTTTATTTCATTGAGTTGATCTTCAATCTCTGATATCCTTTCTTCTGCTTGATTGATTTGGCTACTGAAACTTGTATATGCTTCCCGAAGTTCTTGTGCTGTTTTTCAACTTCATCAAGTTGTTTATGTTCTTCTCTAAGCTGGTTATTCTAGTTAGCATTTCGTCTAACCTTTTTTCAAGGTTTTAGTTTCTTTGCATTGGGTTAGAACATGTTCCTTTAGCTCAGAGAAGTTTGTGATTACCCACCTTCTGAAGCCTGCTTCTGTCCATTTGTCAAACTCATTCTCCATCCTGTTGTGTTCCCTTGCTGGTGAGGATTTGTGATCCCGTGGAGGAGGAGAGGCATTCTGGTCACTGATGATTTCATCCTTTTTGCACTGGTTTCTTCCCATCTTTGTGGGTTTATCTACCTTTGACCTTTGAAGTTGGTGATTTCCGATGGGGTCTGAATGGATGTCCTTTCTGTTGATGTTGAAGCTATTTCTTTTTTTTTTTTTTTTTTTTAACCTTCTAACAGGACCCTCTGTTGTAAGAGGCATTTTTTTCTTGTTACTCAGGGGTCAGGGATCCACATGAGGAGGCAGTCTATCCTTTGTCTGCCTGCAGAAGCATTGCTGGGCTGCCTCTGACTCAGCCCAGCTGCTGTGTAGGCTTCCTCTGGCTTTTGTTTACACAGGTGAGATTAGATCTGCCTTCACAATGGCGGATGCCTTTCCCCCTACGGAGCTTAATCATCCTGGATTGAGCTTGAACTGATGTGTTGGCTGCACAACTCTCAAGCAAGAGGGCTTCAGTTTGCTCATCTTTGTTGGGGGTGGGACCTGCCAAGCTGTATCATCTGTCTCCCTGTTTTCAGCTCTCCCTCTTTCTTAGGGGTAAGTACAACCCTCCCAAAGGAGCTCTTGAGCTAGTTGATACTTCTGCCCAGTTTTGTGCTGCCAACTTGCAGCACCAGGCTGGCTGGAGCTGTTGCTTAGATTTTGTTGGTAACTAGGCATGCTTTTCAGCCCGGTGGCATTCTCCTGGACTGTGGGTTGCAACATCCATGGGAGAAACACAGTATCTGAACTGCAGGGCCAAGGGGGTAAAGTCCCCAATCCTCTGGTCAGGTGCACTTTCCAGGTGGGGTAGTGCCCTACCCTGCCTTGGCTCACCCTCCTTGGGCTACACTCACTGTCCAACCAGTCCCATTGAAATGAACCTGGTACCTCAGTTGGAAATGTGGAGATTGTTCGCCTTCTGCATCTCTCTCACTGGGAATTGCACTCCAGAGCTGTTCCTATTCAGCCATCTTGGCAGAAGTCCCGAGAGCAAATTTCAAACGTTCTTGCCACAAAAAATGTTAAATATTTGAGGTGATGGATATGTTAACTAGCTTTATTTAATTATTTCACATTATATTCATGAATCAAAACATTGCTTTAGACCCTATAAATTTATAAACTGTCAACTTATAATTAAAAAATAAATTAATTAAAATATGAGGAGCTAATAGTCATCGTAACTTGAATTGATATTTAGAAAATCTTCCTCAAATATAAATATTTTTTTTAATCCTAAAGTATCCTGTAGGTAACAAAGATCTCATATTCTTTTTCACAGAAAATCTATTCACCATGGTAAAGATAACCTAAATACTCCAGTATAAAGCAGGTAAACACTTTACAACAGTATTTGAGATGTTAAAGCTTGAAAATAGACAAGAATTGAGCATATTAGTGGCAGGGAAAAAAAACCCAGAAAACCAATAGCCAATCTATCATTAGTTCACACATTAATAAATGTTCTTAACAGCAGTAACAAGAAAAGGTTTCTGACTTCTGGAATAATCATTTTACTGAAGGGCTTATTTTAGAAGAGACAATCAGCATTGACTATCAGTATGCTGTAATTAAGCAATTCTAATATAAAAATATCAGTTTAATAAATGAATAAATCAGAAGGAAAGTACTTATTTAATATGTTATAAAAATAGTCCCATGAAGGCAGATAATTTTTATGTTTTCCTTTTATATATACATGGCACCCGGAAAAGTGTCTGTCTGCATATAGTGTTGATGAATGATTGAATTCATGGGATTTTTTTTTTTTAACAAAGGTCTAGAGTTTCAGTACAGCTTCACTATCCTTTCCCATCCTTGAAGACTGTTATGGCTTAAATTTTGTCCCCTCACAATCTCATGTTGAAGTTTAATTGCCATTATCATGGTATTAAGAAGTGGGATCTTTAAGAGATGATTAGGCCATGAGGGTTCCACCCTCTTGTGTGGGATAAGTGCCGTCATAAATGGGTGAGTTTGGTCCCCTCATCTCTCTTGCCTTTCTGCCTTCCACTCTGGGAGGCCACAGCAAAAAGGGCCTCATGAGGTGCCAGTGCCTTGATCTTGGACCTCCCAGCCTCCAGAACTGTGAAAAATAAATGTCTATTCTCTACAAATTACCCTGACTCAGGTATTCTGGTAGAGCAGCACAAAATAGACTCAAAGACAAAGACCCACAGAAGCACTTTATGGCCACGTATATTTCTGGGGGGCCTGGCTATCCAGGAAAGCTAACTGAGCATCAGAGATGGGTTTTTGCCTCCTTCTGCCACTGACCAGTTACGAGACTTATGGCAAGTGGTGTGACCTTGCTAGCTATCAACTTTCTCATCTGCAAACCTTGGCAACTGCAATAAATGAAGCTTTGCAGCCACTTCTAGCTCTGTAATTTTGTAGCTATAGTCCACTCAAGAATTCTTTTTTGAAGCCAGTTTTCTAAAGCCACTTAAGATACGATTTGGTATATACCAATTCTGTTTAGTTAGAGCCTTCATAAATGTACTTATGAAAAAAAAACCCAGAAACATTTATAGCTATGATTCTAAACACTGTCACTTGAAACAATATTTTAAGTAGCATCAGCATATAAAAAGAAGCTTTAAATATCTATAGCAAATAAAATATCTAACTTTAGAAAAAGATATACTGATAGTAGTTCAGATTTTAATTTCTATACACTATTTTAATGGCCAAATACCCATGTATAAGATTGATTTTATTTTAGTACTAAAGGAAACCTATGATTTCCAGCTTATCATCAAGCTATCCACACTCTATGAGAATCACACATTTAATTGTCTTTCCTCTCACTGGACTGTGAGATCTATGAGGGCATGGGCTAACAAAGCATGTAGACACTGATATCTGAAGCATCTGACTCTCGATCCCCTTGTAGCCATCCCAGATTCCACCTACTCCTCCCCTTGACCAATAGTGCAGGTTTTCTTATAAGAAAAAAATAAATGGGTCCAAATTTTTCCTAAATAATTTATTGGAATTATGTAAGTTGAGATTGTGGAGGAATGAAGGGTAAATAATCTTACTTACCTGAGCAAGCTTATGCTTTTCTGAGTTTCCTCCCTTTTCATTGTGTAATTTGTAAACTGGTGTATATTGTACAGAACTAGAACAGGTCCCATAATCTTCTTCGTTTTCCTACACATGAAAAAATATACATGCAATTACTGTAAAATACTCCTTTTATTGCTAAGTTATTATATTAATAAAGTATCTGATACACATACAAGTAGCAAAATAACACTTCAGCTTTAAGTATAAAGAATCTATTTAGGAAGAAAATGCATTTTTCTATAATCCAAATTAAGTTTAATTTAATAAAAATTAATTATAATTTATATTAATATAAATAAACTTAATTTAGTAAAAATTAATTTAAAAATCTCTGATCACTTTAATTTGAATAAAATTTATATAAAGATAATTTGCTAACACTACACTGAAAGTTTTAATAGTATGTATTCTCCAAAGGTGAAAATTCAAAACATAACAACTGATAATGAAATCTGTGAAGATATATATTAAAATCAACATACACATATACATTTACATAGCTGCAATGTTCACAGCTTAAATACATACATAATCTTTTGTAAATTAAGAACATTCTTCATTTTAAAGTAACTACTATTGGAATGAGACTATCAAAACAAATGATGGTATTCCTCAATTAGTTCTACACAAAGATATCTTTAAAAAAATATGCATAAAGCAAGAACTTCAATTGTGGTATCAAGGCAATCAACTTTATGAAAGCATACATCTTGTTAAAGCATCTTGTAAGACTTCCATGATCTGTGATAAAATATGCAAACAGTAAAGAGATTATTTAGTGGACGCATATAGAAGGACAGATAGTTGCCAGAGGGCTTGTTATAAAAACACAGTCTGGAATAAAGGGCTAAGCATATTTCAAAAGTCATTAAAAACATAAATTTCTAATTTATAATATATAAACTTCAAACTAGTACAAGAATCTAGGTAAAACAGAAAAAAAGTGAACGTGATGTACCTTGTGTTTTAGCTTACTCTTCACTTCCTTTAGTCCCAGCTTTGCATGATTTTTTGCCTAGAAAATGATAATAAATGTGCCTAGCTCAGCATGGTTCTATTACCTTTTCAAGAACAAGTATACAAGATCACATTTAATGACAATTACTAACTATTCATATGATTTAGAAAAAGAACAGATTATAATCTAACACTCTATTTTCAGGAATACACATACCACTTACTATATTATTACACTTAAATCAGTTACTAAAACCATTAGTCTCTTCTTTGTATACGAGTATCATACAAAGGCTAGCATTTAGCCTGTTTTGCTTCCTAAACTCTCAAGAACACAAAGGGAATAAACCAGATTACTAATGTTAAAACTGTAACAAACTGGAGGAACAGAGAAAGCACATCCCAGCAGCAAGTTATTTGGGCAGATGTTTGAACTTCACGAAACTCTGGCAATTTTACAAAGCTTTATTAGGTGCTCTTTTAGGCAGACAGAATTTTATTAGCAGAGGCATCTTAATGGAATGGTATTTCATACATAGTTTTTCTGGCAAAAATTCAAGGTCATCTAACAATTTAAAGCTATCTTCATGTTTCACTGGGAATCTTTCCCCAGCATTTGAGTTTCTCACATCCTGCTGTGACTCCTGAGGGGTATAACTTAACTAAAGACAACTGGGGGCTTTCATAAAAGCCTTAGCCTTTGTTCCATCAGAAATTCCTACTCACAGTAGCCAAGGTGAAAAAGAAGAGAAAAGGAATTCATATTTATTTTGTTTCCCAAATATGTGACTGTGTGCTGGGTGCTTAGTATGCATTATCTTATGTAGTTATTACTATAGTTCCATAAGATTAGTACTACTATGATAACATTACAAAATAAGGAAAGTGACTCAGGGAGACTATAATCTAGTTTACTTAACTATCCTCTAAACCACTTGATTACACTGATGTTTTCAGATGCTCTTTAGTATACAGAGTTGAAGCTACTAGTGTCAGTCTCTTCCATGATTCCATAATTTCATAGTGCACTGGTTCATTTAAATAATTATTGCTCTATGTCCTTCTTTGACTTCCTTCAGATTACCTGGAAGATGGGATATAGGTTCTCTCTATCCTTTTCAATTTACCGATTTGAAGCTTAACAATACGCAAGTACTCTTCACAGAAATGCTCCAAGCAAATGGCTTTGGCTAATAATTTAAAATGCAGACCTAACAAGAAAGATGACTTGAAAGCCTTTTAGCCAAATAAAATATGAATTCCACTTTGCTGTTATTCTTAAATTTATAAAAGTATGTATGGTAACTCTAGTTTTCTTTATGGCTCCTATCAGCATAGAAAAACATATGTATGAAAAGCATAGGAAAATTTTTTAACCATAAAAGTAGTATAAAAATGTTATAAGAACAGGACAGAATCATTATTTGCTTTGACAAACACATATTCAGTATTTCTGTAGTATGTTCAAAGTGCAGAGCAAAGTGATAGGAAGACAAATACAAAAGTAGGGACAGTATCTCTTACTGTACCTTCATGCTCTGCTCTAACTCCAATGAGTAAAAGGACTAGTCCATGATAGGCAGTCAAATAATTTGTTGAATGAATGAGATAAAAACATGATTTCCACTTTTGAAAAATTTACTGTCTACAGAAAACCAAGGTGAATAAATTATGTCATACCACACACAGAAAGTGGGAGTTTTATTCATAACAATTTGTTGTCAAAGAAGGAATTTCAGAGTATAGATTTCAGAAAATGAGCAGTCTGGAAATATCAGTTTTAGATACAACTACAAAGGTCACAAAACAACTCACTTACCTGCCCCAAACCTCTTGATTCAAAGATGATATGATCACAAGATAAATAATAAAAGTGATTAGGGATATTCTAAAGACCTTATTCATTTGAAATTACTTTAGGGAGTAAGCCTCCAGAGTAGAATTCTTTTTTTTTTTTTTTTTTGAGACACAGTCTTGCTTTGTCACCCAGGCTGGAGTGCAGTGGAGTGACCTTGGTTCACTGCAACTTCTACCTCCCAGGCTCTAGCAATTCTCCTGCCTCAGTTTCCCAAGTAGCTGGGACCACAGGTGCACACCACCAAATCTGGCTAATTTTTGTATTTTCAGTAGAGGTAGAGTTGAACCATATTGGCCAGGTTGGTCTTGAACTCCTGACCTCAAGTGATCCACCTGCCTCGGCCTCCCAAAGTGTTGGGATTACAGGTGTGAGCCACCACACGTGGCTGAAAGAGTAGAATTTCTAATTTGAAAACATTTTACTTCCTTGCAGAGAAAGGTTAAAATAAAATACTCCACTGATTAGAAGGATAAATTTTTAAATAATGAATAAAGTTTTAAACAAGTTTGCTTCATTGCTGTGCTTTTGTGAAAAATACGAGTGAAATTAAGACAAGACACATATTTGGCACAACAATACAACTTCCCTAAGCCTGAAAAAACCCTGAACTGCCTGCTCTAGGAGAAAATGAAGAGCTATTGACTGTGAAACCATTTTTAGAATCTTAAATGAATGTGAGAAACAAGGATCAACATTACTTTGTTTTTCAAATGGTAGTTGTGTGCTATTTCATTTGTGAAAAAAACCTCTTCAAAAACTGCACTTAAACCACCAGAGAGGTTTCCTAGCAAAGCCACAGAACAACCAAACAAAAGGCAGAGGCTGAGGTTTACCTTGTCTTACTTTGGCTTTGTGGTTAGGTTTCAAATGATTATAATTTGGGAGCTGTATTTTTTAAACTCTATAGATCAGCTTTCCTACTATAAAATTTAATATTTGAATGGAATTTTTAAACAGAAAAGGTGGCCACATTTATATCACAATTTTAAGCCAAGAAACAACAGAAGTTCTGAACTTTTATTAAAATATACCATTTTATTATTAATTCAGTCACATCAATTAATTTACTGAGAAAAGCTTTTGAAGACAAATTCTTACAAAATCAAAACTGTTGCCTTAAATATTTTTAGAAATATACAATACATGACCTATCGAATTTTAAAAAATTTATTGACCATAACCCACTAGCTTCTCTTTTGAGAAGTTACTAGGCTAGTACTAAGAGAGAAACATACACAGACAAAACAAGTGTTGAAACAGAAGTCCTACAGATACAAAAATATGTATATAAACTTTTTTTGTGTAGAGATGAGAAGAATTTTTTCAGGGAAATCATGCCTGAACTAAGTCCTATACAATGAACTGGTGTTTACTAGGTGGATAAAGGCCAAGAAATTGACATTCCATTAATAGGAATGGCTTGAGCAAGAATTGAAGGGCAGAGGAGAATATCTTATATTTATGAAATGAGGAGTAACTAAGTATCTTCAGAGATATGGAAGGTCCTGTGGAGCAGGGGGAAAAGGAACTAGACATGAAGCGTCGGGTTTTGAAGGATCTTAATTGTCATATTAAAGAGTTGTTATTTTTTACTTTAACATATATTGTTAACTTTATTATTCTTGCTAATATTCCCATCATTATTTTCTATAAGCCTTAGTGCAGGGGTGTTCAATCTTTTGGCTTTCTCGGGCCACATCAGAGGAAGAAGAATTGTCTTGGGCCACGAATAAAAACACTAACACTAACAAAAGCTGATGAGCTAAAGAAAAAAGGAGAAGAGGAAGAGGAAGAGGAAGAGGAGGAGGAGGAGGAGGAAGAAGAAGAAGAGGAGGAGGAGGAGGAAGAGGAAGAAGAACAAGAAGAGGAGGAGGAAGAGGATGAGAAGGAGGAGGAAGAAGAGGAAGAGGAGGAAGAAGCAGCAGCAGCAGAAGCAGCAGCAGCAGCAGAAATAATAATAATAATAATAATAATGCAAGAAAAATCTCATAATGTGTTAAGAAAGTTTAAGAATTTGTGTTGGGGTCAGGTGCAGTGGCTCATGCCTATAATCCCAGCACCTTGAGAGGCCAAGGTGGGCAGATCACTTAAGGTCAGGAATTAGAGATCAACCTGACCAACATGGTGAAATCCCATCTCTTTTAAAAATACAAAAATTAGCAGGACGTGGTGGCAGGTGCCTGTAATCCCAGGTACTCAGGAGGCTGAGGCAGGCCATGGGTTGAAAAAGCTTGCCTTACTCACTGAAGAATGTTAACAGAGAGTCAATGCATCTTTGAGGGAAAAGGTCTTGCTATATTTTTCTTTCTTTTTTTTTTTCCTACTTGAGCCACAAGTAGACAACAAGAATTTAAAATTTTGTTAAATGAAATAATGACACTTTACAAAATGGTACTCTATCATGAACTGTTTCAATTTGCTGCACAACTTTGCTGATAGCTTTGAAATAAAGTAAGAACCCTTTTTAGATTATATAAAGGAAACTACCCTCTGTATGCAATGTTATAATTTTAACAACTGAATTTGTTTTAGTCAATATTAATCCTATTTTTTTAGGTTTATTTAAAAGAAAAATAGAAAATATTCAGAATTTACATGTCTATCATCTAGGAAAATGTTATATAATTTTATGAATATAATTTTTTAATATCAAAAAAACTTACAAATTTATACGCTGTCCGTACAGCAGGGGTTGCTTTGGTCATTGCTGTGTTGAACAGTGCACCTCCTTTCTGCAAAAGAAATACAGAAACATATTTCCAAAAACTTTTGGCCAAAATGTCCTGAAAACAAAGCATTATAATAAGTGGCATAAAAAAAGAGCTTTACTGACAACTTAAAGTCCTATGCAAATTATTTCATGTTCAGTGTTTTCAAGTTTCTATGTACTATAATAGTTTTAAACAAAAGGTACACTTTCCACTTTGTTCTTTAGTTGATATTGTACATCATTTAAAAAATCATTTTAAATTTAGGTAAACATGAGCAATCTGAATATATTTAAAAGCTTAGTAAGAAAGAAATACTAGTTTATCAGCTGTTTTAATATTGGGCAAAAAAAGTCTCCATCTATGGGAGAAAGTTTCATATTTAAAAATCATATTAGCAAAACTATGTTACCAGAAATTATAAAATTGCCATCAAATCCTACTAACCCACCTAATTTCTTCTTCTAGGAAATAATAAAAGATGACAGTAAAATCTGGCTTTTCAAAACCAGCTATTTATCTTTGGACCAAGAGTTTTCATTTAAAAATTATAGTTATGAGTTTCAACAAACTATAAACATAAAATAAGAATATTTAAAATGTAACAAAATATACAAACACTTCAAATATTTCAAATAAACATCATAAGGATAAACAGCATACTTTTGCTGAACATTTCTCCATTCATATTAGAGTGAAAGAATAACATGTGAAAGCTTATGATTACCTTGACTGTATGTACCCATTGTTGATATGACCTTGGGCTTCCTGGAATATATAAAAATGAGATGCCAGGAATGTTCATCAAAAATAAATCTGTAAACCAAAATTTATCAAGGACTAGTATTTGCACAATGTTTAGTAGGCAAATTTTATATGCAATGTTGTAAAAGAAGCAATAAAAAATGGCATCATAAGAACTAACAAATAGTTCTAATTCTTAGGAATAATTAGCAGTTTCAGAAATAATGATCACTTTTTTTCATCCATATATGAAGCTAATGGTATTCAATTTCTTCCACTTTCATATTAGCCTCAGAGAAGAAAATATAACCAGTCTCTCTTCTGAAATCCAAAATTTAAACTTTTTAAACTGATTTTCCATGTTTTATGTCTATGTTGTTTTGTAAACTTTGCATCCTTTACACAATTATGTTTATTTTAAAATAATATTTCCTGTACATACAGAAATATTATTCTTGTACTTTTAAAAAACTAGAAGAAAACTTAGAAGTGCAAACAACCTTGGCAACAAAAACCATTCTTCTACAACTGCTAAATATTAACAGAGATTAGTAGCTAACTTTATTTTAATGTAAGCTTGCAGTTTTAGTTTTGAAAATATTCTCTAGTTGTAAATCTGTAAGTTAGAAAAATATTATGCAAGGACATGTGAAGCAAATGCAGCTTTTAGGCTACAGATTGTCATGATTATTAAAAAGCTCAAGCGCTAGCCAAAGTAGTTCTAATAAAATCTGGTAATCAACATATCTGGTTCCAAACTGATAAACAATTTTGTCAATAAGACAATATCAGAAGGTAAAAAAAGAAATACAGATACAACAACTTAGCTAATCTTTCCCATCAAGTGATTTCAGTTAGATTTCAAAATTCAACCACCTTCTTGTTTAAAAGCTTAAATACTCCCTAAGTCACAGGGGTAAAAAGTCACAATAAAAAACAAAATCCCAGCCCTGGTATGGTGGCTCCCACCCATAGTGCCAGCTACTTGAAAGACTGTGGCTGGGACACTGGTTGAGCCTAGAAGTTCAAAGTTGCAGTGTGCTATGATTATGCCACTGTACTCCAGCCTGGGAGACAGGGCAAGACCCCATCTCTTAAAAAAAAAAAAAAAAAAAGTCCCAATGGCTACTCAGACACTATCCAGTACAAAGAATCCCTAAAACATAGTGTTCTCCTCTAGCCTGTTGCTGTGGATTTTAAAAGATGTTATCACCTTTCTCTTACAAAATAGAGACAAAATGATCTCAACTCCAAAATTTCTTTCTACTGTTATCTTTGCACCCTAATCAACATCAGGGAAGAACTGTCCAGCTCTGGATTCACTTCTATATTTAAAATCTTACCCTAATTTAAAATAAATGTCGAGAAACAATTTTTATTCTGAAAAACATCTCTGACTGCTCAGAACACTGCATTGCATCTTTTCCAGAGGATGAAATATGGAGACAAATTTTTTTTTTCTCATCTTTTGAAATAACAAAAGCAAAATGTAACTACCTAAAATAACATTAGTAAAAGTAAACTGCACTGTTTAAAAGGTATGAGGTTCAGGTGGTATTTAGCTTGACCAAACTTTTAAAAGTATATTTCCTTGCAAAATAATAAAACATTCCAAGTTATTCTACCAATTTATTTCTTAAGGAGATGGTTTTAAACAACAAAATAAACCGCAGATCTCTCTTTATCCAGTTGTTCATATATGTTTATTTCTGTATTAAAATACTTCTCTATAGGTTGAGTGGAAATCATATATTTAAGATTTGGCTATTATTCATAGTATTCTGTAAAGTGTTTTATTTTAATTGTTTTCCCAAATGAATGTAAGAAACCAGAACAAACACCAGTTTAGCACTCTGTAACACTTGTTAATCCAGAAGACAATTTATCTAAACCTCTGAACCACAAAGAAACTGGCTATCATAAAAGTTTCCAACCATTGTAGGAAGGTTAGGGTCTTATTTAGATCTCTGGGGAATAAGAAAGCTAATTTTCAGCCCTGTAGAAGTCATTGAATGTTTTTATCTACATTATTTGAACTGTAGTTTTCTACTGTAAAATAGGCAAACAAGTAGTGTCATAAGCAGTTCAGTTCAATAAGAAAGAAGTGAGCTTTTGAGTCCAGTGGACCTATGGCATTCAGAACTACTCTATCCTTGTAAAGGATATTATTTGGGATGAGGTCCTTAACTTGGCTGAGCCTCAGTTTCTTCATTCATCAAATAAGCATAATAGTCACTACCCTTCAGGATTATTGTGAGGATGAAAGATAACGATTAAACAATGTTTAGTATGGTACACAGCATATTGAAGAAATAGCATAAATGATTGTTATTACTATAAATAATTTGGTAAAATAGAAAACTGAGGTTCTCAGATGACATATTATTCATTCATGTTCTTAAGGCTAGCAACTGAAAAAGAGTAAGAATCTAGGATTTTAATTCCTGGTTCACTATTCCTTCAACTCTGAAAAACTACCTCTAAGACGGCTAAAAAAAAATATGATTAAAACGTAAGATATGCAGAATTTTCTGCTGTATCACACCCAAAGCAATTATATCTGAAAGTGAAAGGGGCTGCTCAAAGCTAATATCCGAAAAAGAAGGGTAATAGAGAAAATTGCCAGTAATAATCTAAAATTTTATAGTATAGGGGCAAACAAGAAGTCCCTTGCTTAAATGATAGGGAGACATGGTACAATTTAGGTAGATTTCAATTTTAAAAGTTTTAAGGGCTAATTGTGCCTTTAAATTTTAGTGCTTTTATGATTTAAGGTTCTTATTTTCACAAAATTTATAAGAAAGGCACATTATTCTTTAGTAATGTTAGAAAAAAGCTGTTGTTCTTCTAAAAATTAATTTGAATACTAAAGAAATCCCTCTGAATCCTTCTTTCAAAATAACTGGATTATGGTAATAACAAGCGTTACTGAACAGAATCTTAACATTATTTTTATTAATGCAACAACTGATTTTCTCACAACAAAGGACAAAATATCTATTTCTCACTTATACCAAGACTTTCTCTTCAAATGTACTTGCTTAAATTCTAGTAATTTGTACTTATTTATCTCAAAATGTAAATTGGTTTAAATTGTTCAACAGGAACAGGAAAATGACACTAAAATTGATTTTACCTACCACTTCTTCAAATTCCTTTGATACCTTAGTCAGTAAAACTAATTAAGAATGGAAAAATAAATACAAGAACAAATAAAAGACTCATCAGATTACGTGTGTAAACTAAGGAAGAAACACATGCTAGTGATGGAGAGTAAACCACGCTCCGCATAAAATCAATCTGAAAATATTTCTCCTTTCAAAAGTTAAGTTGATGTAAATTTAAAAACTAGTTTCATCTTAAATGAAAACAATTATTTAAAGAAAGAATATGTTCGTAACTACTCAGTATTCCTTAGCTGCTTCTTCACATACCAATACTGTGTTTACTTAAATGCATCCTTTGTTCTACTCCTGTCCTCTTTTATTACCTTTTAAACTCCATGGCTATTCTTCCCTTCACACATTCTTTTTAAGTTAAGTTAAAAATTTCCTTTTAAGTTAAGGTCGAAGGTTTTGCAAGGGTCTCATAAAGGAATACGGTGTGACATGGATTTCCTTCATAGTCCTGATGAGGGCTCACAGGGCAGACACAGGTTTTGAAAAAAATGCATGCATTCACAGATTATTTAACCATACAGTTTAGAGTCAAATGTGAATCTAGATGTTTCTTATCTGTTTGCACTACACTATATATTCTTAATCAGAGCCACAATAATTATAAAGCTCCATCATACTCATATTCATTTTATCATAACCATGGGCATTAACAACAAAAATAATATATAAACTACTACTGCAATGATATATAAAGAGGATAAAATAGATGTTTCTCTGAAATTTCCTAATTATGTTTGCTTAAAGAAACATAATTTTTTCTTAGTTTTAATGTTAATTTCTACCACAGTGGTCTTTCTAGGACTTTATGTGTAATAAATCTATAAGAAATTCAGAAGAGATAAGAATTTTGCTTTGATTCAATCAGAGTAGGAAGGGGTTAACTACTACTCCTGTTTACTGAATATTTTTGCATTAAGAAAATTTGTTATTAAGAAGCAACATACCATTATCATTAAAGCAAGGTCTTCGAAGCCACTGTGAATTCCACACATGTGGAAGTGAGACTCTGGCCACTACTAGCTGTGTGACCTTGAGTGAATTGTTGAGCTGCGGTAATGAAAGTATCTCCTAGGGTGTTGTGAGGATTAAATGAGATAATATTTGTAGAGCTCTTGGGAGAGTTTCTGTCACATATTAGTGTTCAATAAATATTAGCAATGTATTACTACTATTATGAGAGAAACAAAGTTAGATCAGTTTACTTCTTTGAAGAACAGGTTAATTTCAAGACATTGATATGTTCTTTTTTCTCACAAGGGTAGCATGAAAGACAAATGTTTAGAACTGACCTCTAGGAACAATTTTGGAAACACACACACACACACACACACACACACACACCCTAGATAGATGGATATCTTCTAATTAATAGAACACTACCAATTTTTATTATACTAGTCATCTTTTTATTTCAAATCCTAATATATTTTGCTTTATTTTCATCTACAAAAGAAGTCTGTGTATCTCTAAAATAACATAAAATAGAATAATTTTAAAATATGCTTGATAGGCATAAATTTCTAAGGAACTTTCTTGCTGTACTCACTAGAATTAGTATTTGTCAAATTAGGCTTTCCTTTTAGATAAGTATTGGCTCTCTCAAATTAAAATAAGAGCTCAAACCCTTTTCATTTTAATAAAGAACAACAAAGTAGTGGGCATTAAGTTGTATTAAAAATGCAGCAGTTTCTAAGTTAGATACTAATCGGTAATCATATTTTCCTCAACTTTTTTAAACAGTAAGGCTTTTCAATGAAAAATTTTAGTGAGCCTTCCCACCAGAAAAGCCACCTGTCTACTCTCTTACAGAGGTACCTGGACCAATGGTTAAGACTACAGAATTTAACTGTACAAAAGGATCATAGTTCTAGTCCCTTATTGTCACAAAATGTCATCTTCAATTCTATAAAAGCTACTAGCCCCACGGGTCATAAAGATAATGAGACAGCAGTTATGTAAATACTGAATAGATGCCTCAAGCAACTTGTCCATGAGCTGACAATATTTTGCTTGTCTGAGCTGAGAAGTAAAAAAGTGTTATTTTAACACAAAAGTTCCATTGAAGCTAAATTTTTACCCATGAACTGAGGGAAGCAAGGAGCTGAATGATTCCACAGTCAGCTTACTTGCTGAGTCAAGCAAACTAACTTTTCCCCAAGCTAAACGCTTTCAGTGAAATGAAATACTTACATCAGATAAAGATCCACAACTACTGAGTTCATTTGTACCTCCTTTAATGAACCAATTATCTCAATGGTTTCTATATTTTAATGGAAAACATGAATCTTAAGAATAAAGTTAAATTCTGTGAAATGTATAGATGAATACCTATTACTTGTCGTCTTTTCATGTTTCATTTCTCAATTCCAGCAACTATTTATACAAGACTGAAAATGTTTTTCTCAAAACAAATATATAAAGAAGTTTAAAAAATTGCTGTTATACCAGGTCAAAAATTAACACACTAAGATATAGGCTACATGGATTTTTGTTTATTTAGTTCACCTAGTATTTAGAGCAGTGCCTAGTACATTGTAAGCACTCAGCAAATACTCAATGAATGAACAGGACACTTCCAGTACTCAAGCAAAATGCTCTGCAAGTCAAGACTATGTACGGCAACAACTGTGCAGAAATCTCAGTTTGTCAATTCTGCATTGCCTCGATAATTATAACATTATTTGGACATTTACATTAGAAGGATTAATTATATTTATGGAATGGTAAATTGGAAACTTTCCTGCTGTGGTGATGTATAAGGTAAAAAAGGGAAAGACATCTGCACAATAATACAGTTACTTAAATACGTAGAAAGAATTTTGGTGTTCAGATCTTTCTTTTTGGATTGTGTCATCAATCATAACTTCAGTTCTTTAATTCATACTCAGTAATAACCATCATTAGCAGTTTTCCAGCAGAGAACACTACTATTCAGAAGGAAAGGCAGGAAGATGTGAGTTGACTGGATTTCTGTATTACCAATTTCCAGCAATGTTACAAGATTACTCAGGCCAACAGCTACCAATTCATGAGGCCAACTGAATGCCTTGAGTAACAGATATCAGGCAAAGTAAGCTAGTATCATAACTTTTATAAGATGATAAAATGCATTTAAGATATTACATATTTAGGAGAAAATAATTGTTAATGAAATAGATTTTATCAGACACAAGTGCAAAAACTGAGATAATTGTTATTTAGAAAATGAATAATCATATTATAACTAGTCTTTACCTCCACAAAAGCCACCTGAAGTGATCTCTTCTTCAAATACGTCAGAGAAACCCCTTCCTGTGTTTAGTTTTGCCAGTCGACCATCGATAAACTAAAATTTAAAAGTGTCAAATAAAATGTATCAAATGTCACCAAATAAAATGTTAATTTGACATCTATTTTATAAGATTAAAATTTTACTTACATCAAAAACATTAATAGCAGACTTGTATAAATTACATGGTGTATATACACACATAAACACACATGGAAATTCTCAAACAACGGAAAGAACAGGTGCTCAGTAAACAGCAGCTTTTTAATTAAATCGCAAATGTACAGCAAAGACTCTAATTCTAACTTATTAGCAAAAAAACTGCAAAGTGCAGTAGTAAAGATCATAGGCTCTGGATAGGTTGCTCAATGCACAGCCTCTGCAGAGGGGTTTGTACAAAGATACTGTTGCCCTGCCAAGCCATTTACCCATGGGGCTGTGTCCTGTCCGGCCAGCCCTGTTTTCTCAGAAGGAAAACACCTCATGGTGTTGCTGCAAACAACAAATTAGATTGACGGAGGAAATGTGACACAGTAGGTATCCCTGAGATGTTCGACATCACTGCTTTTCAGCTTCTTAACTTCATTCAGTAAAATAAAACACTACTTGTCTAAACTATTATGTTCTAAGGCATAATAGAGCACCAAATAATTTTAACCATTTACAATAAAATCAACACAACTTTCATAGTTCCTGGCATGCATGCTCACTAAATAAGAATTAGGATTGTTAACTTAAATACAGTTGAGGTAAATGCATGTTGACTTGACATGCATGAGGTTATTTTAGGCAATATTTTTCTATGTTCTTAAAAAAGAGGTGGGAGGCGTGGGAGACTGAAACTATCAAAAGCACCCAAAGATCTTTTTCAAAATGCAGAAATCCAGATACCCTGGAGACTATCTTCTGTTGCCTGTTCTGCTCCATTCCTTACCTGTTCGAACATACACAGTGTATCAGACTCTCGCAGTATTAATACTGCATTTGAGAAGTATTTTGGGTATTTTTATATGACCAACCCAAGTTAAAAATCAATAATGTCATACACACACACACACACACACACACACACACACACACGTATTACTAGCACTGGGTTACCTGTTGTGATTTGTAGCACTTAGAATTTGATATGTTGTGGTTTACTCCATCCATAATGATGATGAAGTATCTTTAAGCCTCCCTTGCTTAAGAGGCAGGGGATAACATAAGCAAGATTTATATGCCTTTTGCAAGGAGGACTTGAAAATTTGAGGATTAAAATGTTCGGTTTCATCCAAAAACTAATCCTGACCATAATTTTTACTCTAGAAATTTAAATTTTACCTGAACTAAAATAAAGTAGCTGGCCTTAAAAGACAAATCTCATATTTTTTCCTGGTTTTCTATTTGAATGGTTAATGAACAAAACTAATTGAGACGAGTTGTATAGAACAATACAATATTCCTCAGGCAGCAATTTAAGATAATTAATAGGCCGGGCATGGTGGCTCACTTGGGAGGCTGAGGTGGTGGGGGTGGGGGTGGGATGGGGTGGTGGATGGTGAGGTCAAGAAATCGAGACCATCCTGGACAACATGGTGAAATCTCGTCTCTACTGAAAAATACAAAAAAAAAAAAAAAAAAAAAAAAAAAAGCTGGGTGCGTGCCTATAGTCCCAGCTACTCAGGAGGCTGAGGCAGAAGAATCGCTTGAACCCAGGAGGCGGAGGTTGCAGTGAATGGAGATTTCACACTGCACTCCAGCCCAGTGACAGAGCAAGACTCCATTTCAAAAAAGAAAAAAAAGATAATAGCAGTAAGTTGCACCAGTTGTAAGACTTTGAGTAAATAATCTTACAGAAAAAAAATAAGAAAGAATAAAAAATGAATAAATAGAGCCCTGTTCAAGATGTGGTTTATAAAGATCAATGGAACAGAATAAAGATCCCTGAAACAAAGGTACACATCTACAACCAATTGTTCTTTAACAAAATTGACAAAATAAATAATGGAGAAAGACACCCTATGCAATATATGTGCCAGGAAAACTAGCTAACCATATGCAGAAGAATGAAACTGGACTCTTATATCTCCAGACAAAAAATAAATAAATAAATTCAAGGTGAATTAAAGACTTAAATGTAAAACCTCAAACTAAAAGAAAAGCTTTCTTCCTAGAAGAAAATCTAGGAAATACCCTTCTAGACATTTCCCTAGGCAACTAACTTATAATTAAGTCTTCAAAAGTAAATGTAACAAAACCAAAAATTGAACATTGAGGCTCAGTTAAACTAAAGAGCTGCTGCACAGCAAAAGACACTATCAACAGAGTGAACAGACAACCTACAAGATGGGACAAAACGCTGGCAAAATACGCATCCCACAAAGGACCAATATCCAGACTCTATAAGAACCTTAAACTAGCAGGAAGAAAACAAATCACTCCATTAAAAATTAGACAAAGGACATGAACAGACACTTCTCAAAAGAAGATATAAGTGGTCAACAAACATATGAAAGAATGCTCAACATCAGTAACCATCAGAGAGATGCAAATCAAAACCACAAAAGACACCACCTCACAACAGTCAGAATGACTATTATTAAAAAGTCAAAATGTAACAGATGCTAACGAGTTTGTGGAGAAAGGGAACACTTATACACTGAGAGAGTGCCAAATAGCTCAGGTCCTGTGAAAAGCGGTTTGGAAATTTTTCAAAGAACTAAAATTAGAATTACCATTTGATCCAGTAATTCCCTTATTGGGTATATAGCCAAAGGAAAATAAATCAGTTTACCAAAAAGACAGCTGCATTTGTATGCTTACTACAGCACTATTCACGTAACAAAGACATGGATTCAATCCAGGTGTGTTTTAACAGCTGACTGATTAAGGAAAATATGGTACATATATACCATGGAATACTGTGCAGTCATAAAAAAGAATGAAATCTCCTTTGCAGCTGATAAATTATGCTGGAGGCCATTATCTTAAGCAAATTCATACAGAAATAAAACCAAATATTGCAAGTTTTCACTTAAATGTGGGAAGTAGATAGACTTCCGCCAAGATGGCTGAATAGGAACAGCTCCGGAGCGCAGTTCCCAGTGAGAGAAACACAGAAAGTAAGTGATATCTGCATTTCTAACCGAGGTACCAGGTTCATTTCAATGGGACTGCCTGGACAGTGCGTGTAGCCCAAGGAGGGCGAACTGAGGCAGGGCAGGGCGCTACCCCACCAGGGAGGTGCAAATGGATGGAGAATAGGGGGCTTTACACCCTCAGAACTCCAATTCAGATACTGTGCATCTCCCATGGCCATTGCAACCCACAGTCCAGGAGAATGCTGACAGGCTGAAAAGCACCATGAGTTACCAACACAGATCTGAGCAACAGCTCCGGCTGGCCTGGTGCCGCAAGTTGTCAGCACAGATCTGGGTGGAAATTTTGACCAGCTCTGAGAGTGCCTGTGGGATGACTCTACCCGCCCCCTAGGAAGAGGGAGAGACGAAAACAGAGAGACAGGTGATATGGCTTGGCAGGTCCCATCCTCAGAAAGACCAGCAAACTGATGTACTCTTGCTTGAGATTTTCACAGCCAGCACATCAGTCCAAGCTCCACTCAGAAGATCGAGCTTGGTGGGAGGAAGGGCATCCACCATTGCAAAGGCGGGTCTAATCTCACCTGTGTGAGATGAGAAAGGCCAGAGGAAGCCTACAGAGCAGTAGGGCTGAGTCTGAGGCAGCCCAGCAGCGCCTCTGCAGGCAGACAAGGGACAGACTGCCTCCTCAAGTGGTTCCCTGACCCCTGAATAACAAAAAAAATGCCTTATACATAAGAGCTAAAGCTGACACGTGGCAAGCAACTATCTGGGATGAAGTTACCTGAGGAAAGATCAGGCAGCAATCCTCACTGCTTTACACCCCTCGTGGGTCATTTCCAGGCAAGTAAGGGCTAGAGTGGACCTCTATCAGTCCTACAGCAGAGGGGCCTGACTGTTAGAAGGAAAACTAAAAAAAACCCAAAAAACAAAAAACAAATAGCATCAACATTGACAGAAAAAAATGTCCACTCAGAGACCCCATCCAAAATCACCAACTTCAAAGATCAAAGGTAGATAAACCCACAAAGATAGGAAGAAACCAGCGCAAGAAGGATGAAATCAACAAAGACCACAATGCCTCTCCTCCTGCAAGGGATCAAAACTTCTCACCAGCAAGGGAACAAAACAGAATGGAGAAATAGTTTGAGAACTGACAGAAGTAGGCTTCAGAAGATGGGTAATAACAAACTTTTCTGAGCTAAAGGAACATGTTCTAACCCAATGCAAAGAAACTAAAAACCTTGAAAAATTGTAAGAAGACGTGCTAACTAGAATAACCAGCTTAGAGAAGACAAATTGACTTGATGGAGCTGAAAAACACAGCAGGAGAACTTCGCAAAGCATACACAAGTTTAAATAGCTCAATCGATCAAGCAGAAGAAACTATATCAGAGATTGAAGATCAACTCAATGAAATAAAACAAGAAGGCAAGATTAGAGAAAAAAGAGTGAAAAGAAATAAACAAAGCCTCCAAGAAAGGGATTATGTGAAAAGACCTAATCTACGCTTCATCGGTGTACCTGAATGTGATGGGGAGAATGAATCCAACCTGGATAACACTCTTCAGGATATTATCCAGGAGAACTTCCCCAACCTGGCAAGGCAGGCCAACATTCCAATCCAGGGAATACAAAGAACACCACAAAGATATTCCTCAAGAAGAGCAACCCAAGGCACATAGTCATCAGATTCACCAGGGTTGAAATAAAGGAAAAAATGCTAAGGGCAGTCAGAGAGAAAGGTTGGGTCATCCACAAAGGGAAGTCCAACAGACTCATAGCAAATCTCTTGGTGGAAACCCTACAAGCCAGAAGAGAGTGGGAGCCAATATTCAACATCCATAAAGAAAAGAACTTTCAACCCAGAATTTCACATCCAGCCAAACTAAGCTTCATAAGTGAAGGAGAAATAAAATCCTTTATGGACAAGCAAATGCTGAGAGATTTCATTGCCGCCAGACCTGCCTTATA